CCCCTCTCCCGGGCGGTCCCGCTCCCCCGTCGAGGGCCCGCCGCCTGGAGTCGGTGAGGGGGGGGATGTGTGAGTGCGTGAGCCGCGCCCCACCGGCGGTGTGTGGGGCTCCGGGCCACCGCGCCCCCCACCCCCGGTCGCCTCTAACCTGGCCGGTGGCCACCGCTGCGCCCAACCGCCCGGGGGCTGCCGTCCGTCCCACACCCACCCCGGCTCTCCTGCCTCCGGGCTGTCCCCCTGGGCTGCTTTCCCCGTCGGCACGGCCCCGTCCTCCTCCCGGTGCTTGCGGCACGCTGCGGGCTGCCCTCCCGGTCACCTCCCCGCGGCCAAACGGCTCTCATCCCCCTCCATCTTCCCCAAGGCCCCGGGAGGCCGCAGCGCCGGGGTAGGCCCGAACCCTGCGAGCCCCCAGCCCCGGGGCTGGCCCCTCTCCGCTGCTCTCCTGGGCCTGCCCCTTCCTCAGACGCCGGGGAGGGCGCAGGCCCTCAGGGCTGCTGCCAGCATTGCCCCAGCCTGGGGACACCGGGGTCTGGGGGGATTTGGGGGGGGTGGAGGGGTTCCTCTCTCCTGAGCGGCTGACTGGGTTTTCTTTTTGCCTGTGTGTGTGGTTTTTTTTCCCCTGTTAGGTCTGACCCAGCTCAGCAACCTGCTCCCGGGGCCCCCGAGGGGGGAGCCCCTGGTGGAGGCCCCCCCGGGCCACCCCCCAATCTGAGCAGTAACCGCCGGCTGCAGCAGACGCAGGCCCAAGTGGAGGAGGTGAGTAGCTCCCTGCCAGCCGTGCCAGCTTCCCCAAGGCTGTCTGGACCCTTCTCCTACTGCTCTGCAGCGACCATGTTCTTGACAGGCGTCTGTTGCTGAGGGGGTGGACGCTCTTGTCATGCCAGTGCCAGAAAGTACACAAAGTACGATGGCAGACTGGAGCAGAGGTGGAATTGCTTTATTACAGAATCATAGAATGGTTAGAGTGTGAAGGAACCTGAGAGAGCATTGAGTTCCAACCCCCTGCCCTGGGCAGGGACACCTCCCACCAGACCAGGTTGCTCCAAGCCCCATCCAGCCTGGCCTTGAACACCTCCAGGGATGGGGCATCCACAGCTTCTCTGGGCAACCTGTTCCAGTGCCTCACAGGAAAGAATTTCTTCCTAATATCTCATCTAAATCTCCCCTCTTCCAACTTAAAACCATTACCCCTTGTCCTGTCACTACACTTCCTGACAAGGAATTTTTATTTTTTATTATATCTAAAAGCTGCTTAATTCCACATGTGACTTTAAAGGAGCGAGGCTGTTAGAATTTTGATAGCTTGCATCATGCATCTGTTACAGAAATAAAGCTCTACGCCACCCAGGACAACTCTTAATCCCTGCCTCCTTCAAGGGAACCGTCTGTGTGCAGGCTCAATGTGTGAGGAACCTTGCCTGACTTTCCAGTGTCAGTGTCTGTAGCTTGGCTGCTGTCATGCAGTAACGACTTTATGCCTCACTGGGGCAGCAACATGTAGCTCTAAGTTATCTTTGCAGTTATCCGGGAGCGAGCATATGATTACACTCATGAGTGGGGTGGCTTAGGCTTGCTGGATTTGAGATCTTTTAAAATCAGGTGATTATGTGAGGCTGAGGACCTGGTTTGAGTGTACTTGAACTGATACTTCAGCAGGGTGTGTAGGATTCTTTTCCCCACTTGAAAGTGGGCAATGACTTGAAAGCTATTTTCACCTGATGTTTTTGCCTCGTTTGGGGCTTTGGTTTGTTACTATCTCAGTGTTAGTTACTGGCCAAGTTACTTCTTCAACTTTCTTTACCAATATAACTGCTGCTACTATTCTTCCTTCTGCAGGTGGTTGATATAATGCGTGTAAATGTAGACAAGGTGCTGGAACGAGACCAGAAACTGTCAGAGCTAGATGATCGGGCAGATGCACTTCAGGCTGGTGCCTCACAGTTTGAAAGTAGTGCGGCAAAACTCAAAAGGAAGTACTGGTGGAAGAACTGCAAGGTGAGTCTCCTAGTGCCAGTATCTCCTTCATCAGAAGGATATGGGGCTAGTCCTCTCCTGCATGGCTTTGAGAGGATAGTTGGGGCTTAAGAACTATTTCGAGTGCTTAGGATTCTTTCACTGTGGAAAGACTTTGAAGACTTGGCTGTCTTACCTTCAGGGTCTGTCTTATGTTCCCTGGCTGTCGGGGAAGATGTGAACTTGTCAATCTGTTCTGAGTATTACTCTCTGACAATCTCTTTCTCCAGATGATGATCATGATGGGAGTGATTTGTGCCATTGTGGTGGTGGTGATTGTAAGTAAGTACCAAAAAGCCCAGGATCAAAGGTGAAGAAGCACCAACTCTAGAGTACTTTAAACTTTTTCTTTTTTGGTTTGAGATCTGGAGGGTCTTGGTTGCTTATGTGTTAATTTCAGTTCTTGGGGAAGGGAGGTGGTGGAGCTGGAACTCCCACACTTATTATGGAAATGGTGTGCTTTGCATAGTAGTGGAAGGAATTGGGGGTGGCCATCACTGTAGAAATGGGGAATTCTGTCTGCCAGGTCAGGTAAACCTGTAAGTATGAGGGGCATTTACCCTGGAGTGGGTGGGTTGGCAAGTCCCTTCCCTGCTGGGGGATTTGGAAGTCTCTGGGGGACCTTTGGTGTAACTTGCCCTTCTGTTCTTTCCTTTTTTTTTCCTATTGCTTTGTCTCCAGTCTACTTTTTTACTTGAATGTAGCTCCTTCAGTCTGCAGCCTACTGTCCCCTGTCACCTTGCCTGTCTCTTCTTGCCCCTGAATCTTTCCTTCCCTCCCCTTCCACCTAGCTTCTTCATTGATTTCTTTATTGGTTTTAATTTGTCTTCTGTATAGGACTCTGAAGCGCTCTATTGAACATGGTTAGACTCTTCAACAGCTGCTGCAGCTTTAGGGATGGTCATCTGGGTTTAGAGGAAAGGGAAGGAGAGGAGGAGTGGGTAGCTAACGCTCCTGCTCTTCTGCAGGGAATTTTTGTGGCTTGTTTTTTGGATGTCAGCTTGTCAAATAGTGCCTGTGCGGACTCTAGCAAAATAAGAATGCCTTAATGCGGTGCCTTTGGGGATGAAGGACTTCAGCATGTGAGATTCTTTAGTATTCTGCCTAAAAAGAGTGGCAGCATGACTTAAGCTTTTCATTGAGCTTCTGAAATAAAGGCTAGCTTGTGGTGGTCAGTGGCTGCGAGCCATCTGACTGAGCTAGGTATAGTCATCTAGATTTCTCTAGCCATGGAGAGACGAGCACTTAAAGAAACAACTTATTCTGCCTGTCCTTATTTTCAGATAACTTGCTGTCTGAACATGGCCATTTCAGTTGTTATAAAGGAGAACCTACATGATTACCTCAGTCAAGTGCAACAGACTAAGGAGTTTTGTAACTATCTAGAAGGCACATGTGGGAGTAAAATCTCCTACCGGAATGAACAAAAGAACAACAGTAAGGAGTCTGGAGGGGGGGAGGTGTCAAATGTTCCTTACATCTATGCAGACACAAGCCAGGACCCTGTGGCTTTCTACCAGCTTGTAGCTTTCTGGAAGACGTTGGGGTAGTGGTAGAGTGGGAATGTTCTGCTTTTGTGTTACTGGGTTGAATGTCAAAGGAAGCCCACTATGTAGCAGATGGAGGTGAAGGTGGCTGGAGGTATTCCAGATGAGACTGAATAATTCACATAGCTTTCTGATTATGAATACCTGTTCTGTTTCTGCTACTACAAAGTCCTAGCATGCAGCAGGAATTAAAAAATACTTGGAATGGTTAGCTAGGGATTCAAAGGGAAATGGTGCTCTGGGCATGGGTATTGCAGAGTGACATCAGATGTCCCAGTTTGGCAGCTTAGATCTCTAGAGATCTTGCCTATCAAACTGAAATCTTCTGACTTGCTATGGGTTTTCTTGAATTTAGATCCAAAATGGTCTCTGCTGGAAGTAAACTTGCAGCATGGAATGCTGTGGCTTTCTGTAAGCAATCCCCTTGTTCTCCTCCTTCAAAAATAACAAGAGCTGTGAGTTGCTTGAGTGTGTTGTCAAACCTGGGGTTAAATGAGCTGCTCTGTTCCTCAGTTTCTGCAGAGTCTTCTGAGGAAAGTGCATCTTGTCTTTTCTTACAAGCTGAGCTGTAGCCTGTAATCTAGACTGGAAAGAAGGCACTTCTTTAATTTAGGAAGCTCTACCTCGGTTCTAGGATACACTGTGATCTGTCTAAGCTATAGAGGATGTGAGGTGGCAGGGGAAAACGTCACTGGAGTTCCCAGGTGGGAGTGAAGTACAAAAGCTGGGAGGAGCAGAAGCTTGTTTCATGGAATGTGCCAGGGAAGCCCCTTTCCTCCTCACAGGGCATCTGGGAAGGGGCTAGGTTTTGCATGCTCACTTCCATGCCCCAGCATTTCATTTGCGCTGAGTTCATCTCCCTGCAATTCCATCCCTCTCCACCTTGGGTGAGGGCAGAGATGAAGATCTGGAGTGAAGCAGCCCTCGTCCCCTGAGCACTTCCCTAATTCCCTGTGGAACTGAGATGTGATGGACGGTCAGAAGTGCATCTACTGAAGAGGAGCCAGGGCCTGCTTGTACTACTTACTGCTATCATTTTAGGGGGTGGGCATACAAGCTTGAGGCCCCCAGACCAGCAATTCTCTTGAACTCTTCTAAACAAGCCTTTGGTGCCCCATTCCTCCTGTTCCTCTGGGGGCTGAGGTCCCCCTAGGCTGTCTCTTCCATTTCTTTCTCTTAGATGTTGTATGTTGCCTCTTTTGTTCCCTTTCCTCTCCTTTGTGTCTCTATGCATGGGCAAGAAAAATCACCAAGGCCCTCTGAGTAAAAGCAAGGGACTCTGCTGTCCACAGCATTATAGCCACTCACGCACGTGCAGTTTATTTCCTTCCTCTATAAACACAACTGTAATCTCTGGCATGTTATAGTAACCAGCTCATGTACTTTAAATGGTCTCTAAGAAACACAATTCACCACCTTATTGAGTCTGTCTGGTCTGTCAGTGGGTGGGGAGGGGCTGGGATACCAAACTTTTTTTGGAACTTTTTTTTTTGGGTCACTTCCATACTCTACTTGCACCTGAAGTTCTGGCCCTCAAAGCCAAGGGTTGTCTTCCGTTGTAATGATGGTAGTTCCAGTTGTACTGGAACTGTGTGCTGGACTGACTCCGTGGTAAGTCTGTAACAAGATGGATGGACCAGCAGCTCTGGGGAAGAAGCTGCCCAATCCAACTCTACCCACCAAATATCCAGCCACTGGATAATCCCTGGGGGGTAGTCCCCCTTGAATGGGAGGATGTGTTGCTGGTTGCTCTAGTTCCTTGGCCTGTGCTGCTTTTGCATTTCGACAACCTGTCCTCAGGTCCTTAAACCCAGAAAACAGTTCTCCATTGGTGTTAGGACATGTTTTCATGATCCAAGCATAGGATGCTGTTCACTGTGTATCTTTGAGCGTGGCTGGAATAAAGGTAAGTGCTGCCTTGTTTTCCTTCACTGTACACTTGAAACTCATTAAAAAGAAATTACAGAGCTTTATCCAGTGCGGACTTATTTTAAAATGAGGTCATGGTGCCCTTATATCTGCTCCTGCTGATACAAACTTCAGGCTGTAAAACAGGACTCCCTATCGCTTGTGGTTCCATTACAACCAATCTTTGTCCAGTCTTAAACATCACCAAAATCATACCAGAACAATGTATGGGCAGTGGGAATTTGGAGCCATGCAGCTAGGGTAATTCTTCTGAAGTTGAAAGACTTCCTGGGAGAGGAGGGTGCCTGGACTGGCTGGTGGATTGAAGCAGTGTGTACAGTCTAAACCTCAGCACGGATCAGGCCTGCACAACCTATTTCCTGCCAAGTGTGTGATGTAGCTCATTAAAAGTATAATTAGAAATTCAGGCTCTGCCTTTAAACATGCTACTCCTGTATCAACTGCATCATCTCAACACCTTCGGATTTGATGAGGCCTCAACTCTACTCTTAAATGGATGCGACTTAAACCTTCATGCTTCTAGATGCCCTAAGCCTTGTTCTGGTCTCTCCTGAGACCCTCATCAGCCGAGGGGGTGTGTTGGTTTCTTGTCTCAGCTGGAGAGTAACCAAATGATAGTGGGGAAGACACAAAACATTTTTCTTCAGAGTAGGAATGCAGCATCAACGCTTGTTTAACAGACCCAGCTCCCCTGTGAAGCGACAAGAAGTCCCTGCTCTGAAGTACCCACTGGGGTTGGAAGCCTTAACTCAGTGAAGAGAAGCAATAATGGGGAAGTACAGAGGTTTTATCTTTATTCTGACCTCTAAGCAAGTAATTACTGAGAGATGTAAGAGAGAAGGATATAGATTTTACGAAATAGGTGACTTGGCTGTGTCTGGATACAGGAGTTCAGCCCAGTGTTTTTTCCAGGTTCCTCTAGGAACATGTAAGTGGGTGCCTTCACAAAACTTCCCCTGTTTACAGGCCAAAATAAAGTTGCACTTCTGCTGCCACACTTCTGATAAACTTTGACCTATTTTTTTGCTAGTCGTGGTTATTCAGAACGCCCTTATTTGCTCCCCAGCTTTCCAATATGAACAGCTCCATAACATCCTTCCCTTCAGCGTGTAGACCTGCTAAATGATTCTTGCAAAGGCATAAATGACTCTGTCTTTCCATATTTGCTTCTTTTTTTTACAAAAGCACTTGTATTATTTTTTTATATAAATTTGCCATAATCTTCAGATACTAAGCTTTTTCCTAGTTCATTGCCTTTTAAGTATGTACGTGGAAGCTGAAAGTACTTTCTTCTCATGCTCACAAGACACTTTTAAATATTGAATATTGGTCAGTATGAAGAGCTGCAGGACTGAACACAGCCATCCCTCTGGTGTGTTCCTGATCTCTGTGGTTCCCTCTGTCTTTTCACCAGCAGCACTGCTGCCCTTTTTTATTTCTTGATGTAGCGTATCTTCACCCCTTAGATCTTGTTGAACCTGTCCCCAGAGCCTGGTAACCCTTTCCTCAAATTCCTTCAGGGTTTGGCCTCAATCTGTGCAGACAAACTTTGCATTTATCTGTCCAGCTTCTCTAAGCACTCCAGCAAGCAGAATTTAGTTCTTCTAAATGTATTGCTTAAATTCTGAACTGGTTGTCTTCTCACTTTTTAGCTTCTCTAGACATTTACATTTATGTTATACTTCCATAATACAAATGCATTTCCCATTTTACCTTAATTTGTATGAAAAAATAATTTTGGTATCTGTCAAATTCTGACGGCCACACAAGGAACAAGTTTTTCACGCCTGCCTGTGGAGCTCTGTCCTTGCATTCCCTGCCTTCTCAGCATCCTCTGCTTAATTTTCCTCCTTCCTGGAGGGGCTGGCCCATTCTTCCCTTTCTTCCAGTATATTTTTTGTATTCCCCCATACTCACTACACTCCAAGTTTTTTTTAGAGGTTCTCAGTTCCTCCAAATTCATCTAATCACATAGAGCCCTCAGGAACTTCAGCATCCCTGCCTTTCCCAGACTGACTATCCCTTCTCTCTGCTACCACATGATTTCCAAATGCTCTTAGTCCTCAATCAACTTGCAAATGTCTGACACCACCATGGTCCCACAGACACTGGGGCCCTTTATACCTTGTCTCTGTGAGTTGTTCCACATCCTGAAAAAGATCATATCTCTTTCCTTGTGTTTCATCAGCAACAAACACTGCCATAGTTCCTCTGTTATTGTTTTTAAGCTCCTAAATACTCATCCCTCCTCTACCTCTCTAATTTCCCTGTCATATAAACCAACCTTCTTCTCATCCTCAAGCATGTGGAGCTACTCACTTCTGTGCTACTTACTCCTGCAAACCAAACCACTCTAATACTCCAGCTTACCCACAAAATTATTTTTCTCCTCCTGCATTTCCCTTCCTCCTCCAAGCACTTTTATTCCTACTTCTCCTGGTCCAAAAAGACAAAAGCTTTTCTTCAGTGTTGTGTGACCTACAGTTGTACTTGCATTCCCCTCAACTTTCTCCTCTTGTACAAATTCACCCCAGCTCAGACGTTTGATTTGCCTTTTGCTGACTGAAGAATCTCTCTAAATGGACACACTCTCCCCTTTTCTCTAGTATTTCACATTCTCAGTGAAACACTCAATTTTCCGCACTCTCACTCCAGGACCGCTGGACTTGCCTCTTGTTTTCAGCCAAACTGAGCTCACTATACATCTGTTGAGCTGATAATTTGTGATCTTGTCATCATACAAGAAATATAGGGATGTTCCTGGGAGGATCATCTGATTTCTGCCAAGATGGCAATTTTTGCACTGATCCTTAGGGCAGGAAGGGCTAATCCATATACTAACTTCTGTAACAGCTTCATGTTTGTAGAGGTTTTTAACTCTGGATTTACAGCTACCCAGAAAGGGGCTGTTACTTTGAGTGTATCAGTCAAAGCCCATTTTTTGCATTTTAACACTTCTACAGAGGAGAGAGATAACATGGTGCCATCTTCCCCCAGGAATATATCACCTTCTTCTACAGCTATATTTCCTTGTGATGTTGAAGAGAATTTAATGTTTCAAGTAGTTACACCTCTGATTAATCTTCCTTTAATTACCCACTTCACTATGCGTGATGCAGTGGGTCACATCAATTTTATGGTTATCACGAGGTATCGTGTGATGTGAAGAATCGTGTCTTCCTCTTTGGATATTCTGGAAAGATTATGCTCAATGTGTGATTCGCCGTACGTTTATGATAGACACAAACTGCTTCAGGTGTTGTACCTGCTCTTTTTCCTTTCTTGATTCAGAGATGGTTTTGTGAAGGAAACAGCTTTATGTGTCCGATGTCAGGTTTTTGGTCACTGATGTGCCAGAAACCACGTAAGGCAGCAGTTGGTAGTACTGAAATCACAATGAAGCACTGAGCTATGGGTGCAGCATCCTAACTCCCTTATTTGCCTGCCTTTCTTCTTTTAATTGTGCCCAAAGTTAATTTTTTTTTTTGTTTTAGACACTAATCTAGCTTTTAACTTTGCCTCTTGGGCAGTGCTTTTGCAGAACATTAAAGTTCCTTTATTAGGCAACTTTGAGACTTCATTCTTTCATTACTCACTCTCTTTTGCTTCATTTAAAATCACCCATAAACACAGCAAGTGGATTTTTTTTTTTTTCATGTTTGTAGAAGTCTTGCTTTTTTCCAGTGAAGGCCTCCCAGGGGAATACACGTTTCCAGACCTCTAAGTGCCCATGGTGCAGGTCTCTCCCTCCTGCCGGGCCGCCCCCCCTTGCTGAAGGACACCCCCTGAATTGATTCTGTTCCTAGCAGAGAGAGACATCATCTTCACTTTCAGAGAAAGGTCATCAGCTGAGCGCTGGGATACAGTTTGAAAAACCACGAACATTTGCTTAATAAAGAATTGAGTGTTCATGTCTGTGAGGAGGAAGAAAATGACTCTCTGCTGGGAAGTGAAAAGTGCATTTAGGTAATCAAGGCAAGAGCAGTAGAACAAGCATGTGTTTTAACATCTCAAAGGGAAGAATTAGGCAACAGTTTATATACTGCAGTAAAATCCTCTATCTTCACAAGGGCAGTGCATCTACCTTAATTTTTTAAATATCTGAAGTTTTTCTGTTTTTATGATTAACTAGTTTTTAAATTCAAAAGAGGCTGTCGGCAGTGTGATTGGGTACACGGTACTGCAGGTTTTTGCCTAAACTATACACTTAAATTCTGGTATCTGTGTTTGTTTCTGGTTAAGTGGATAATCCTGTTTGTTAAGGACATCACCCTTGCTCTCTAGATACCACATAAAGTGCTGTGTAAACACCACTGCAGCTGAAGTCTGAGTATTTGTGAAAAATAAAATGGCAAGCTTACTGCAAGAAATAAGATGCGTGCTCTTATGTGAAGATCCCCAGAGTAGTTCCTGAGAAGAGGACCATCTTGGTCCTGGCCTTGGTTGCCTTGGTTGTCCATTCCAAAAGGCTAAAACTTTTTCTGAAAAGAT